CTAGATGATATCGTACAGGTGACCGTCTTACGCCTTGGGTCTAAAATTAAAGAGGTACAATAAATCCAGTTGCTCTTTTTAAAATGTTTAAGCATTTTGTCTCGAGCTGCTTGAAAACCCAGAATGAGCCTTTCATCCACTTCGGATCAATTAGGTTTATCATCTAATTTTTTTACCATGGATTCAATTTTATCGAGCAAGAGAGTGAATGATACAATGACTAGCGGTAATGTAACATATTTTTCTCCACCAAGTTTCGTTGATAAAAGTTTAAAGTTTATTAAAAACTTATGTATTTTTTTGAGTATTTGCCATTCACTATCTGTGACTTGAAAATCATTCAATTCGGTGACAGAAGTGCACAATATGTTAATGTCAGTTCTCACTTTTAAATCAAATCCAATATATGTATCATATCATGTGTGGAATTTCATCTAGTTGGACAGTCGAGTATGGGGTTCAGATTTGATGGGACACCATCTGCTTCACAAGCAGACTGAAACTTCCTCTTCAATATCTCACTTCTTTTTATTTTACTGGAAATACTGCGTAATTGTGTTATAGCTGTACGTGAGTCAGCAATATTTGGCGCATATTCTTCATCTTCCTCAGTTTCGTCTTCATTATCTTCATACTGCTGTTTTGATCCTTATTGTCAGTTTCACTGTGTAATGCTAAGGTCTTTAATAAATCTTGTACACCAAGGTTCAAAATGTGAGCAAAGCACCGGAAATGTTGATTGTCTGAATCAAAGTGTGGCAGCTGTTTGTCCAATTCATACATAAATTAGGTATTTGCAGTTGCGTTGTCGACCATGATACCCAGTATTTTAACAATTATGTCATATTCCAATAAACATTCGTGGAAAATCGTTGCAATATCTTCCCCAGTATGTCGACCGCGTGATGGTATAAAATCAAGGACTACAGATCGATACTTCCATTCGTTGTCTATATAATGAATAGTGACCCCGTAGTAACTCCTACCAGCAATTGACGTCCATCCGTCAATGGTAAATGACATTTTAGATGAAAATTGTTGTAGTCGTTTCTTAAGATTCCAATGAAGCTCTTCAAACCGTTCTTTGACGTTCCTTCTAAGTGTGGACCTGTTAGGAAACACCATATTTGTGCAAATTGAAAATGTAGCTTCGTCACCGCAAAATGAGAAGGGAAGATATTTTTTAACCATCCAATCAACTGTAGCTGTCGTGATGTTGTCACTGCTATTTTCAGACTGAAATAAAACAGTAAATCATGTCCTCGCCGATTATAAATACAAATGAAAATATGAGTGAATTATAAATACATATTTAACGCTATAATAATAGTATGTACTATAAATATATATATATATATATATATATATATATATATATATATATATATATATATATATATATAAATACCACTCACTGACTGACTATAACGATATCTCAGTAACTATAAAACATACAAACTTGAAATTTGTAAGGTAGGTTCCTTTTATGGCATAGAGATCAGTTAAGATACGGTTTTGAGAAAATCTACCCTAAGAGAGTGAAATGGGAGTTGGAAGTTTGTATGAAAGTCCTATGTTTTTGAAGTTAGAGACACGAAAACCGGCATTAAAGTTATAAGTTTTCAATAATAAAATCCTGAATAAGCTGTTTTACGAAATCCTAACCCTAAGGGGGTGAAATTGGAGTAAAATGGTTACATGCGAGTCCTATATTTTTAAAGTACAGATGTGAAGATCGACATTTACTTTATTAGTTTTAAATAATAAATACTTGCATAGTTAAGCTTTACCTATATAGCCTCTTTATACTTAGGTAAGACTTTTGCAGCGAGAAAATTTCAAAATCTCATAGGAAATCAGATATTGTATTCGGACGAAGTCGCAGGCGGTCGCTAGTTACATAATATATGTGTTATGTAATTGTGTGATAAGTATATTTTTTCTTACCTGTCCACTTTTTCCGGTGGTTATTAAAAAGCTTGTGATATCTCCACTTAAATTTGGTTTTTCAGGAAGAAATATTTGTGATTCCTTTTTGTGGAAAGATATTAGATGCTTCCTTAATCCTGAAGTGTTTCTGCTTTTCATTTTTATTTAAACCTTTTTATGTTAGCATAATTTACACAAAGCAATTTGGGATGCATGAATTATGTAGAAAAACTCATTAAATTTACTTTTAGGTCTTTTAGATCTATAACTCCAACTCTCACTACTCCGACTAGAACTATTCGACTCTTCGTCACTCATGTCAAATTGTAAACTTATCACTCTGAAAACAACAAGGATTAGAGTAAAAACAATTAATACATTAGACTCGAAGCAAAGCTCAATTGGGAATGACTGGAATTAAAATAAATACTACTATTTGTAAGTACACGCCGAAAGACCGACAAAGGAAAATTCGGCATCCTTTGATAAAATTAATGATTCTTCAGAAGATTAATAAAGTAGATGCGTTGCCAGATAGGTATAGTGTGCCTACGTAAAAAGAAATGTAAATATGTAAAATTATGTATATTATGTTCTTCTTGTGATTGAATTAATCTACGTTAATTAAATTAAATTTGCCTTCACTCGTTTGAAATTCAAAATTCAAATATATTTCATACAAGTAGGCATTAAAAATACACTTTTGAATAGTCATATAATCACTGTTTTCCCCAATTTTTTCTTTTCCATGTCCAGGGGTTCTTATTCTACTGAGGAGAATCATGGAAGAAAGTAACAAACTCAGTAGTTGCTCTTTTCAAAATATTTTTACAATAGTTCTATAATTATGTAAAGCGATAATTCAAACATATAATGTCAAATGTATATGTAGATACCAAATCGGTTTAGAAATTTCTAGTTAGTCCTGTGTAGTACGAGAGGTCAGTTCCAAACATTTTTGTCTGACTTAAATTGAAAAGGTGAAAGATCTAACATTTCTTTTGGAATCTTATTATAAAAGCGTATATCGCTATCCAAGAACGCATTATATACTTTGTGTAACCGGGAAGCAGGTATTGTGATTTTATTTTTATTTCTACTATTAAAATTGTGCAAATCACTATTATTTACATCGATTCGATGCAATCAATTTCTTTAAACGGTTCACTAAGAGATACTCGGGCTCCTAAAAAGTACATAGATGTTATTTTACGCTTTTTATTTAATATGAACACTTTTTATATAATTCGATTAGCATTGTACAAAATGTTTACACGTTTCAAGTGTGTTAAAAGTGTCTACAATATTTATCAAATGGGTGACGAGATATTCGAATACTTTGTGTTCAAAAACACACACTTCCAAAAATCGAGATTTACAGTGAACTTATTGAACATGTTTATCTATTAGGTAATAATAATAATAGTAAGTAATTATTATAAACTGTTCGCGACGGCCTAACAACGCTAAGAAACAAAGTGATAAAGAATATTGTTTTTTGTATTAATAGTGAAATTACCAACAAAACTGGGTGAAAACGTGTATTAATATAGATGTGTAGCATGTTTATAACTCTTAGTATATTTGTATAGAATGTCGTTTTGATAACAAGTAATATAAACAACTTTTATTATATTAAGAAAAATCGACCAATCACAGCACGTCTTATCGTAGAACTCTCTAGAAGTTTTTAATTAACTGCGTAATAGTTCATACTAAAAATAATGAAAATAATTTTATGTTCTAAAAGAGTTGTAAATATGACACTGAATTAGCATATGGCTTATAGATTAAAGAAGTGTAGGAATATTTTGTATAATTAAACGCATTTGATAGTTACAAAAAATCAAAGAATTAATGTACCCAAATATTATGAAAATTTGGGAATTTCGTTTAATAACTTTTTTACTTTTTACATGTTAGTGTAGCAATTAGTTTTGTATAGAAAATATTGTAATTTATGCCATGTGCATAGTGAAAAGTTTATGCAATAAAGAGGCAAAACGGAAAACAGCAAGCGGCTCACTGTAAAGTATAGCCAAAGTCTACCTTAGGGGCTCGGTACCCAGTACCAGTAGTAGTGTGAAGAACTACCAGTGACAAGTGAAGTGAAGTGAGTGGAATAATACTAGTTTTTATGGAATTTATCGCGTATATTTAACTTTTTAAATACCCGATGTTTCGAACGCTTTACAGCACTCATGGTCACGGGCGGGACTGAGAGGTTCAACGTCCATATGTCATAGTTAACCGCGGTTACCATAGATTAAAATTTAACTTTTGTTCCGATCTATGCAGTATGAACTTATGGTATCTTGAAGTCTTGCAGTTGTATACTTGGGTTGAGATTAGACATGTAACGAGTACTCGGTTTGGATTCGGTACTCGGCGGATTCGGCCGTTTTTTAGGGTTCGGCCGAGCACCGAATATTAAGGGCCGATTACCGAGTACTCGGCCTTAATTATATTGCAGGGAAAAATAAAGACAAAAAGCCAGTTATTATCATTATTATTATATTAGACACATTAAAACATCAGGAACATGACAAACAGCAGAAATATTGAAAACGTAAATAAGAATCTATAATAGAAATTATGATCTTACTAATATTTAAAATTTAAGAGAGGAAGATTGTGATGCAAAAACACTAGCTTTTCGGCCCTATTTGGGTCTAGTTTGCTCCTTTTTGCTTCATATATTAAGCCCGCCTCTGAAAAAAGCCGTTCACTGTAAACTGAACTGGCTGGAGTTGATAAGTATTGAGCCGCAATATTTCCCAAGATGGGGTAATGAACTTTATTAGAAACCCACCATTTATATGGATTTGCATCTCTTGCGGCCCTTGGTACGCTTAAGTAATGATCTAACTCTGCTGCAGCGGAATTCTTAGGATCATTAGGCTGGTAACTAGTTGATGCGTCAGCGGCTTCTTCAAAACATTCCCAGAATAGATTATGAGCTTCAGAAGCAGTATGATCTCTATCTATCATTCTAGCTTTTTTTTCTGCTGGCTCTGCATCAATGACAAGTTCATCATCTTCTGTGTCTAGCGATATTTTTAGAGCTTCTCTTAGGACAGCCTTGCGAGCTTGATCTGCTTGATAAGCATTATAAAAGTTGATTTTGTAGCGTGGGTCTAAAAAGGTCGAAAGGAGATAAGTTCTGTTTTCAAACAAATATTCAAGATTGAAACGCGTGACTTTGTTCATATTGCTTACGAGGGCATTTCTAAAATCATCAACTTGATACGTTTTCTCCGACAGTTCTTCTTTTCGTAAATATCTCATCAATGTGACAGCATGCGGAATTACATCGGAAATAGGAGAATACGTGCTACTAGTTATTTTCGTCACTTCTTCAAAAGGTTTCAATAATATGATTAACTGCAACACTATTTCCCATTGATCGCTTGACAAGTTTTCAAAATTCAAATTTCGAGATTCTGCGAAGTAGACAGAAATAGCTCGTCTCTGTTCAATAATACGTTCCAGTAAATAATAAGTTGAGTTCCATCTGGTAATAACATCTTGATGTAGTTTCTTTTTTGGAAGGCCAAGTTCCTCTTGAATCTCGTGAAGTTTGTTATAACCACTGTGATTGAAATGTGTCACGATTCGTCGAGCAGCAGAAATTGTTTCTTTAACAGAAGTATTAGCGTCTATAGCGTCATTAATTACTAATTGCAGAGTGTGAATAAAACAACGAAAAGAAGGGAAGTTTGCGTCTTTCACACCTTTTGTTATATTTGCTGCATTGTCATGTACAACGGCACGTACTTTCGTAGCTGGTATGTTCCAATCGGAAACCGAATCGAGTAAGCTTTTCTTTATGTTTTCTGCCGTATGACTCTCTGGGAAAACCTTTATATCTAGCACTGCATGACCAAGCATATAACTTTCTTCTAACCAATGGGCAGTACAACTGAGGAAACAAGTTTTGTTAGTTTGACATGTCCACATGTCTGTAGTAAAAGAGATGTGGTTGACCGGTGCCAATCTTGACTTGATATTGTTCACCACTTTGTTATATATATCTGGAATTACATTTTCGCTAAAATATATTCGGCTTGGTATCTCGTACTGCGGTAAAATATTATTGACAAACCGGCGAAACCCTACATGACTTTCCACGATAGAAAATGGCTCGTTATCCACTGCGATCATTTCACCGATTAAATAATGGCACCTCTTTGCTCTAGAATCATTAATATCCCACAACTTTTTCTTTTCTAACATATCTTCTAAAGACGGCTGCTTCAAAAAACCACTCACTTGTGATTGACTGGACTGAGAGACAAATTCTTTGCTACTTGAAGCAATACTTGTAGTACCAAAAACCTCTTCATACTCCGACTTATGTTTAGTCTGCAAATGTCTTTTCATGGACGAAGTAGTCGCAGTTTTTCCCATACCTCCACGTGATAGTTGAACTCCACACAAATTACACTTAGATTTGTTTTTATCAACCTCCACAAAGTATTTCCAAACACCCGACCTTTTCGCACTACTTGACATTTTGTTATATTATAAATTACGCGTTGTCTACATAAAATAATTAATTAAACACACAAGCATAACCTCTTCTCCGTGAATACACGTACAAAAGTGACAAATGAGTTGATAAATTATGAAGTTACGGTTTTCCCCGCTCAAAGGGAATTCCCCGTGCACAGATTCGTCGCGCTGCAATATCGCGCTGTTACTCTGTCTCTGTGTAAGGGAAATAACCGCGCGCCACCCGCTACCGCGTTTTTTAAAGCCGAGCATTCGGCCGAGTATTCGGCCGAGTACTCGGCCCAATCTAGGCCGAGTACTCGGTGGCCGAGTACTCGGCGAATCACTACTCGTTACATGTCTAGTTGAGATTTAATTTTATTTATTATAGGATCCCAAGCAGATGGTAGCACCCAGCCATCTTCTCTATTGAAATTAGGATGTTTTTTGATTTCAATAGCCTCGCGAATCATCCTTGGAAGGAATCGGTGTTCTTTAGCGAGGATTTGCGGTCTATCAAATCTGATGTAATGACGGAGGGCGATCCTGTACGTGTTCACAGACTGCAGACTTCCCGGAGCGTCGATTCTTCACATCAGCTATATGTTCTTTAACGCGGGTTTTTATTGATGTTTTAGTTTGTCCTATGTAGGAGAGACCACATTCACAATCAAGCTTGTACACTCCTGCATCTTGCAGAGGGACATTACACTTGACTGATGGTAAAAACTGACCAATCTTCTTCAGCGGCTTGAAGTATGTTTTGATGTAAGCGCGCTTCAAGATGTAACCAATTTGAGAGTGGATTGTTTCTTTATGAGGTCACTAGTTGTTTTTAGTGTGCTATTTGTTGGGTCGTTTTTAACCTTTTTATAAGTACTTACATCCGACAAAAGTTCTTGTATTTTAGAATTATAATCTGACGTATCCATGACTACCGTGGCGTTTCCCTTATCTGCGCGGAGAATCGTAAGTTCTGGTTTATTGCGTAGGTTCTTTAACGCTATAAATTCGTCTTTGGGAAGATTCGGTTTAGGCACTGAACATCGACGTAACATAGACGAAATGTCTTGACGTATCGCCTCCAAATCTTCTTTCCGCATATTGTTTTTAAATAAACAGTCCTCGACACTACAGATAATTTCTTCGTACGGTAATTTGCGAGGTGTAATAGCAAAGTTGAGGCCTTTGGATAAAACCCTAATTGTTGGATCATCCAGTGTTTGTTTTGACAGATTATGGAGCGCGATTAATCTATGATCTGTGTTTGTCAATGGTTGCTTTTGGTTCTGGCACTGATTCAGATGTTTGACATTTGACTTGTTCGTTAATTTTTGATATTTTTCTATATGTTTGTTTTTGCATTCGTTATATTTACTAATTTCGCGTTTATTTTCCATGCAAAAATTATAGTCACACGTCGTTAAAATTTTCTTTAATTCACTGGATGATGTGTATATGGATTTGTTTATATCATATAGATCGGAGCGTTTTTGTTGGATTACCGTCCGTAACAACTTTTTACTCGCCTGATTTAAGATCTTAGCGCTTCCTCGAATGTCCTTTTCGGTTGATATTTTGACACACGTAGGAATGACATTATGGTCTCGGCATCTCTTCAAGAAATTTAAGGCTGTTAGATATCTTGCGCGCTTGGTCTTTAGATCTTCTAATCCACGTATTTTATTTGCAATTACCAGTACGTACTGGTTTACATAATGATTTCTTATATTTACGCGAACACTACACATTGAAATAATACTAGTTGAGATAAATATATATTAATCGCGCTCTATAATCTGTCAAAACAAACACTGCATGATGCAACAATTAGGGTTTTATCCAAAGGCCTCAACTTTGCTATTACACCCCGCAAATTACCGTACGAAGAAATTATCTGTAGTGTCGAGGACTGTTTATTTAAAAACAATATGCGGAAAGAAGATTTGGAGGCGATACGTCAAGACATTTCGTCTATGTTACGTCGATGTTCAGTGCCTAAACCGAATCTTCCCAAAGACGAATTTATAGCGTTAAAGAACCTACGTAATAAACCAGAACTTACGATTCTCAGCGCAGATAAGGGAAACGCCACGGTAGTCATGGATACGTCAGATTATAATTCTAAAATACAAGAACTTTTGTCGGATGTAAGTACTTATAAAAAGGTTAAAAACGACCCAACAAATAGCACACTAAAAACAACTAGAAGATGGCTGGGTGCTACCATCTGATTGGGATCCAATAATAAATAAAATGAAATCCCAACCCAAGCATACAACTGCAAGACTTCAAGATACTATAAGTTCATACTGCATAGATCGGAACAAAAGTTAAATTTTAATCTATGGTAACCGCGGTTAACTATGACATATGGACGTTGAACATCTCAGTCCCGCCCGTGACCATGAGTGCTGTAAAGCGTTCGAAACATCGGGTATTTAAAAAGTTAAATATACGCGATAAATTCCGTAAAAACTAGTATTATTTCAATGTGTAGTGTTCGCGTAAATATAAGAAATCATTATGAAGTGAGTGGTATCCGGTAGTAGCTGAAGTGACTAATAGCAGTATATAGTGAATAGTGAAAGTGTTAGCTAGCCGAAAAAGGTCGTAACTGATATTCGCAGTTACATATAGTGAAAGTGTTAACTAGCCGAAAAAGGTCATAACTGATATTCGCAGTTACACATAGTGAAAGTGTTAGCTAGCCGAAAAAGGTGGTAACTGATATTCGCAGTTACATATAGGTGAAAGTGTTAGCTAACCGAAAAAGGTCGTAACTGATATTCGCAGTTACATATAGTGAAAGTGTTAGCTAGCCGAAAAAGGTCGTAACTGATATTCGCAGTTACATATAGTGAAAGTGGTAACTGATATCAGCAGTTACACAAGTGATAAAATCAGCTAGTTTAGTTATAAAATCAGCTAGTTTATTTGATAATAGCTGCTAGTCAGTAGTGTTAGAAAACCAGCTACTACCAATAGATATTTGATACTACCGTACAATTTAAAGAAATCTTTTGAAATATACAGTAACCAACCAATAGTGGCCAACCGTAGTTCAACAACCGTCGTCAATATTTATAAAATTTCGCGACTAATCAATCAGTCGAACCGCTGGCCACTACTTTGCTATTTGTATTTATTAATCGTGCATTTTGATTTGAACCTCAGTCCACAATATCCCAGCGGCACCCACAAAGACGGTAGTGAATGTACCCACCGGAACCTATAGGTGTAGGACGTGAGCGACTCGCGAAGTATCTTCGACAACATTTACTCCGGAGAGTTTCGCCCGTCCGGCACATTCGTTGGTCCTTCGAGCCGGATATATCCGTTTGTATTTCGGAACCGTGTAAATAGTCACCACCGTATTAAAACCGCAGAATTTTTCAGATTCAAGATGCCGATCACCCGTTCGCAAGGAAGGGAAGCCAAGGCGTGGACCGTCGGTCTGGAAAGAGGTTCATCGGCCAGTAACGCCGCCGTCCACCACCAGATGCCACCACGCTCACCGTCAACGGTAGAGGGTGCTGAGGCGCCATGCTGCCCCCGCGAGGGGGGGATACCCCTGCCCGCGCCGGCCACTACGGCCCGCACAACGAAGCAGAGGGAACATATAGAAGGCAACGATGACTTTAGCCGTGCATCATTGCCAACAGCCCGGGAAGACACCCACACCAAAGAGCACCGAGGGGCCACACCGATTGCAGTACGAAGTCAAAGAAGACTGTTCGGCCCAATAGAAGAATTTTGAAGGCTCGTGAAGAATTATTGAAGATCAAACTAGAACTTGCGCAGATCTCCTTACAGATAGATGGCCGAAGAAGAAGACGAATCAGAAGACTATGATGAAGATGGTCACTCCAAAAGTGAGTACGTTCGATCTTGGCTCGAAAATTCTGTATCCAAACAAAAGTCAAATTAAGGCACAACCACCGGAGGGAAGGCCCCATTTAATAAAACCGTCACAAAGCCAACCCCGGACGTTGTCGACCTCAGTGAGCCCCAAAAGGAGCTCACGAACCAGGATTCCTATCCAGAAGATGCACAAAAGGATCCCATGCCACAGAAGCTCAGCCAGAAACCCACCGTTAATGAAGACAGGGGGCTCCTACCGATTGTATCGGAGCTTACGTACCAGGATTCCTATCCAGCAGATGTACCCAAGGATCTCATGCCAAAGAAACCTAGCCAGGAGCCCGTCATAAGTGAAGACAGGGGGCTCCGTCCATTTATATCGGATCTCACATCCGCTATAGCCGCGCTCGCTGACAAATCAAAGTTAGAGAGTGCGCCACTATCGTCGCAATCTTTCGCAGCGTCGAAAGCTATAATGACACTGCCAAGCTTTAGCGGAGCACATACCGAGTGGCTTTCATTCCGTGCCATTTACGAAACAACCCGAGGCTACTTCAATGACATTGAAAACACTGCTAGACTAAGACGAATTCTACAAGGAAGAGCCTTGGAAACAGTCAGTCAGAACTCATCGGGCATGCTAAGCCAGATGAGATTATGCGAGAACTGGAGCTACAATTTGGGCGTCCAGATTCAATCGCGCAAGCAGAAACCGAAAATTTACGAGGATTAGCACGTTGTACAGAAGCACCCAGAGACATCTGCACATTCGCGAGCAAAGTGAGGGGAAGCGACGTCACTCTTCGAGCCCTAAAGCGAGATCATTACCTTGTCAACGCAGAGCTGCTACGATACCTCACCGACAAACTGGCAAACTCTATACGTGCCCAGTGGTATAGAATCTACACTGAAAAATATGACTCTAGACCAGACCTCGGCTGCTTCAGCGAGTTTATTACCGAGCAAGCTCGCTTCTGCAGTGCATTTGCGCCTCCAGAAATTATAAACGAAGCACAAAGCAATCGTTTAGTACATAGAGCACACGCGGCTACTACTAAGCCGTCTCCGAAATGCAGAGTGTGCGAAAAGGAGGGTCACTACGGATCCGAATGTAAAAATTTAAGGAAGCGGATATCAACAAAAGATGGGAACTCGCA